TAATTAATGCCTTTCTGTTGAGTAAAGCCTCTAGTAATTAGATGGGCTTTATAACATTCAATGCTACCATCAACACGAGGTTTGATCCAATATACCCATCGGCTGCCCACAACATTCATCAAAGGATGAAAGGGCACTAGGGACCAAGTGTGATTACAACACAAAGCCTTGATCTCATCACACATAGCATTATGCCAAACAACATATTTATCTGCATCAGAGAAGGCAATAGGTTCAGAGGAAGGAGAGAACAATACTCGAGTGGCAGCTGTATCAACTGCAGTAGAGGCCACTATATTTGCGGTTTTGGGCTGCGGTGGTCTAAGGACCATAGAATGGCGGTTGAGTAATGGTGGCGACGCAGAAAAGTTAGGTGTCCTGCTGTAATGGATAAGCACAAAGATCAACCACTAGATTTAGACTAGAGGAAGAAGCCAGGGAAAAAACTGCTATAAGTAGAGGGCTGGCAATATCAACAGGGTTGGCAGCAGAGACAGAGTCTGCATAAACCAGGTGACTGACAAAATAAGGGGAAGTAAAGGAGGAACCAAAGGATGTCCCAGTACTAGCAGAGACATCGTGCTGGAGTGTAGGAAAAACTGATCCACAACCTGTACCTGCAACAAAATGGTGAGAGAAAGATGCATGTGGTGATCAGTAAGGGAAATGTGGAGGCTGTGGGTTTGGGTAAGATGTGAAGGCTGTGGTGTTTAGGCAGAGGTGGTATGAGGTGTGATATGATCAGTGAATAATAAAAAGGTGGTAAGATTTGGGAGGATGGTAGCAGGGGATGATGTGTGGTTTTGAGCTGAGACCTGTGCAATCTGATCAGATTTATCAAATGGAAAAATATGTTCATGAAAAAGGACATGATAGGAGATATGTGATGAGATTCAATGTCAAAACATTGATAACCAAAGTGAGAAGAATTATAGCCAAAAAAGACACACAGAGAAGATTAAAAATCCAATTTATGATTATTATAAGGACGTAAAAAAAGAAAACAAAGATATCCAAAAGTATGCAAAAACTGATAATCAGGAGACCGTTGAAACAAACAATCAAATGGAGATCGATTTGTAAGGACAAGAGTAGGCATGAAATTGATGAGATAAATCGAAGTGTGAAAAGCATAATTCCAAAAGCAGAAAGGAGCTGTACATTAGCCTAAAAGAGTAAGGTCGGTTTCCACAATATGCCTATAACGTCTTTCTATTGTTCCATTTTATTTATGAGTGTGAGGACATATCAGACGATGATAAATACCAATGGTCTGAAAGAAAGTGGAGAGTTTGCGATATTCACCACCCCAATCAGTTTGAACAGATTTTATTTTTAAGGAAAACTGACATTCGACAAGAGTTTGAAATTGATGAAAAACAGAATAAACATCAGATTTTACAACAAGTGGATAATACCATATATATTTTATATGTGCATCAACAAAAATAACAAAATAATGATAACCATCTAAAGAAAAAAAGGGGGCAGGCCCCACACATCAGTAAAAATTAATTCAAGCGGAGCAGAAGTTTTGTGACTAGTAGTAGGTCTTAAAGATAAACGCAATGATTTTTCTAAGGGACGGTTTGGACATTGAAAATTAAGACATTTAGTATTACAAATAATGTTATTTTTTGAGATAAAAAATTGAAAAATATGAAAGGTAGGATGACCTAGGCGATGATGCCATAAATCAGAAGAGGCAGAAATGTAGGGAGACCAATAGGCTTGAGGAACTAACAGGACAAAAGACCTGAACCTGGACAAAGTATAAAGACCATCTTTACTCTGTCCTGAGAGAAGCACTTCATTGGTGTTGAGATCCTTGACATAAAACAGAAAAGGATGAAATTCAAAATAAATATTATTATCGAGATAAAATCTCTGAACAAACATTAGAGGTTTCGTGATTGTAGAAACATGCGGGACATTAAATAAAGTGAACAAACGATGTTGGGTATAAAGTTTTGTATGGCCAATATGAGATATGAGAAGTCCTTTACCATCACCAATATGCAAATTATCATTACCATTGTATTGTTCTGAAGCAGTTAAGGTTGCAAGGTCAGGTGTGACATGTTGATTTGCACCGGTGTCCGGAAACCATTCAGTAGTAGTACCTACAGGATTATGCAGTGCTAGATTGGCACTATACTGCTGACCATAACCACATTGCTGAAGCTGTGGGAGCATTGAAGAGCAGTTTGTCTGAAGGCTTGAAATAACTGGTAGCGAGAATTAGAGCCCCTATTGTGCTGCCAATTTCCTTGCTAGTTGCTATGTCTATTGTCATTGCTGGGAGTGCTGTGAAAGATGCGAAAGTTAGGCCTGAAACTAGAATTACAAGGCCCTCTATGATTGAACTGTTGAGGACACCAGCTGCTATTAAAACATCCTCTATTGTGACCAAACTGAGCAATATGCTGACGGTGAGAGAGAATTGTTGAAGGAGGGATGTTTGGCGTGGGCAAAAAAGGTGCATGAATTGCAGCAGACCCCATAGACGAATGAGAGGACTTATAAATAAATTCATGAGTTAGAGATGACTAAGCAAATCTGTATATGGTAGAGGATCTGTCCTTGTAACAAGACTTGTCATGAAGTCCTTAAATTCTCCGTGAAGGCCACAAAACACATATAAGTTGAAATCGGCTAGTGAAATAAGCCGGCCAACAGCTGCTAGCTCATCAAATAAAGCCTTAGCTTTTGCAGAAATTGAGTTACCGATTCATCATCTTATCAAAGGTCTTGAAGAGAGCCATGAAGTTGTATAATACGAGAATTAGATGTAAAAGCTAGAGCTTTCTCAAGTGTGTGCCAAACAGAGCATGAGGTTAGACAATCAATAACAAGATAAAGAACTTCCATAGATAGCAAAGAGAGCAGGGCATTTAGAATGAGTTTGTCCTACTGTTTGTAATGAAGAAAGTGTTGAGATACCTGAAGAGAGACACCATCGACAACAAGAATGTGTGGAGAGGGGCACGAGTTTGAACCATCAATAAAACCAGAAACTCCTTGGCCTAGAAGATATGATTTCATTTGCATTTGCTAGTACAGATAATTGGTGTTTGTCAGTTTCAGAGAGATGACCTGATGAGTGTTTGAGAGGGATACAATTTCCACAGCAGAAGCTGTAGTGGCTTTAGCACAAGAGGACGACAACAAAGGAGCATTATTGGGGTTGAGTAGAGCATAGCCAACATCTGTAGGCTATAGCCACTGCAAAGTTGAAGCTGAAGAAGAAGGTGGTGCTGTGGTAGGAGAGAAGGATGACAACTCTAGTGCAGCTCTAGTGCTGCTGCAGAGGGAGAGATGGTTGCCGGCTGGAAGGGATCCATTGCAGAAAGGGGAAGATGTGGTTTAATTTATTTAAGGCTCTGATACCAAGTTGAGAATAACATAATAGCTTAGGTTGACCTTAGCTAACATTTCCTATTTATATATGTAGGGTAGAACATGACAATAACCATAGAAATTACAACATTGGAATAATCCTCCATTAATTTTCTATTCAAAGATATACATGTTATACATTCTATAATAAGAAAAAAAATAAATAAAAAAGTCAGTAGCTGACAAACCTTCTAGAATGAAGTCACATGTGTTGTATAAAAAGGTAATCCTTGCCATTATGAATTAGAAGACACTTAAAAAGCTGATCTTACTTGTCGTGAGCCATCACATGCACTAGTTGAAAATCATGAAATGGTGCACTTGGTGGCATATTCCATGGCCACACTATCAACTTTGTTTTTATTTGTTTATTAATCAAATTATCTAATAACCTCTGTAACCACTAAATAATTATAAAAAAACTAATATAAAAATGCTAATATGCCCTTAAAGCAAAGCCAATAACTTTTTAATTCCAAAAGCAAAAGAGTAGGTATACTAGGCATGTCTCTGAAGCCTTTAAATAAGAGTTATTTTTTTTTAAATAATCAAGTAATTTAACTATATAAAAATTATAAATCAACTAAGATATCTTAAATAGTTCTAAAATAATAAAAAAACCTAGCAAAAATACAATTTTACTACTAAAAGACATTCTTAGGTTTTTTTTAAAAGAAAAATCACTAACTCACTATTATAATGTACAATCAATCAATGCTAGTATATAATGTTTACTCACATGAAATAGTTTATTTTAAATTTTTGTATGTGTTATGTTTTTAACGAGTCAATTACATGTCATGCCATGTATTTCTTGGAAATAGCAAAACAGAAACTCAATTTCAATAAATTAATTTTTTATTTAAAAAAAAATTTAATTTTATTTTTAAAAAAGAAAAAAATAACTTTTGAATCTTGAAACACGATGAAAAAGCAAAAAAAAGAAGGGGATTTAGAGGCTGACCTCAATTAGAAGTGTTCATAAATTTATTTAGGTGAGGTACCTAACTTTTTATATTTTACATCCATATTTATAACAAGTCTAAATTTTTATATTTTATATATGAAGTTTAAATTTTTACAAATTTAAACTAATATATTTGTGAAACTAAGCCTTTCAATTATTGTGGATAAAATATGATTCTCTCTAGTTGTTTTTTTTTAACAATTCCTAGTTTTAAATATATTTAATTTTAAAGGATGTAATTTAATTGATTAAATACTAAATTTGTTTTTGAAAAATTAAGTTTTATAAATTTTAGAATCATTAAAAATTTATATTATTATTAATTTTAATACCCATAAAATTAATTAAGAAACATACAAACTAGTTTAAATATTCATATTAATAATTTTTTTTTTTTAAACAGGTCTTAGCCAGTAATTGTTTTTAAGGTAACGGCTTCTTATAAAAAAAAAACCATTTGAGTCAAACCTCCAAAATGACATAAATTACAACTAAGCCATACGTAAAAATAACCATACCGGCTTTGGTCCTCTGAGGCTCTTGCCACCTCATACCACCTAAACTAAATGAAGTAAAAACCCCAAAACAGTAATTTCCCACTTCTCCTCCTCCCTTTATAAGCCCTCACAAGACCATCCTCTCTCTTAGCCAGCCACGAAGCCACCACCCTCTGCGAAGTGCAAACCCATTCCTCCCCCCCTCCCTCGAACATGGATCCAGTACCTGTGTGGGGAAACTCGTCCCTCCAAACAGTTGACCCAGAAATCCACGACTTAATCGAGAAGGAAAAACGCCGCCAATGCAGAGGAATCGAACTGATCGCATCAGAAAACTTCACTCCTAGAGACTGGGATTATAAGAAGTTTAGATCTGTTGCTGATAAGTGTGGTGCTCTTTTGCTTTGTGACATGGCTCACATCAGTGGCCTTGTTGCTGCTCAGGTATGTATTGTTTTTTCGATATTTGGCTGTTGGATCTGTATTTTCATGTGACTAATCTGTCGTGCTAGATTTGATCGTGTTTTGTTCCTGGTTATTTGGAGAAGCTTAAATTCTGAAAGATCTGTTCTGAGTTTGGTGTTTCTTGAGCTGCATTTTAAAATTCTGATCCGGGTTCTTTTGTGGTGATTCAGCATGATTTAATGTAAATTCAGCTTTAGATCTGGCTTTGGCATGATGTGGTGCCACATGTGTTTAATGAATTTACTAGATTGGTTGGTTTATGGGATTGATTTTGTAGATTTTTTACTTGTCCGTCAGTTCTTTGCAGTTTGTTAAATGCATGCAAAGCTGAAAGCTTTTAAAAGATCAGAGTTTAAAATCTAATTGATTTGCATCTGCATGCAGAAGATGTTAAAGGAAATATGTTCTTAATGATCATGGAGTTAATTCCTATCGGCTTAATCATCTAATTTGATTAAAGGAATTAGACTCGAGCCTGTTGTTTATTTAGGTGACGAGAGCTATTTTGAACTAGTGGAATTCTTGGATATGGAGATGTGTGTGCATGTATAAATGCTCGAAGCTTAACATGAAATGTGAAAGCTAATGGTATGCAATGTTTATCCATCCAAGAAATAAGTTTGCATTATTTATATGCAAGCATTCTGTTGCAGTTGAAAGACTGGCGCTGTGACTTTTTTTTTTCTTATAAAATATTCAGTGTAAAATGTCTAGATCCGGTCTAAATCTTTACTGTTCTTTTTTGGTTGTAGGAAGCTGCCAACCCGTTTGAGTACTGTGACATAGTCACCACCACTACCCACCAAAGTTTGAGGGGTCCTAGGGCTGGTATGATCTTCTATCGCAAGGGCCCCAAACCACCAAAGAAGGGTCAGCCAGAGAATGCGGTATATGACTTCGAAGACAAGATCAACTTTGCTGTTTTCCCATCTCTTCAGGGTGGTCCCCACAATCACCAGATTGGTGCTCTGGCTGTTGCCCTGAAACAGGTCCAAACCCCTGGGTTCAAGGCCTATGCCAAACAAGTCAAGGCAAATGCCGTTGCCCTTGGAAACTACTTGATGAGCAAGGGATACAAGCTTGTTACTGAAGGCACCGAGAACCACCTTGTTCTGTGGGATCTTAGGCCCCTTGGGTTGACAGGTAAAGAATTGAATTGTAGAGTTTCTGCGTCATGCATGTTGGTTTAATCTGATGTGAAATTTGATCCTTCAAATAATGTTCTTCCAGGCAACAAGGTAGAAAAACTATGCGACCTTGCAAACATCACTGTGAACAAGAATGCCGTGTTTGGTGACAGCAGTGCTTTGGCACCTGGTGGAGTGAGAATCGGTAAGAACTTACCCCACGGATGCATTATCTAGATAATGATGATATTGGACAATTTGAAATGAGAACCCTCTGCCTCTATTAGTTTGGAGCTATTAATTGGAGCTTTTTGTTGGCAGGTGCCCCCGCCATGACTTCTAGAGGTTTGGTTGAGAAGGATTTCGAGCAGATTGGAAAATTCCTCCACCGTGCTGTGACCATCACACTGAGCATCCAAAAGGAACATGGAAAGCTCTTGAAGGACTTCAACAAGGGTCTGGTGAACAACAAGGAAATCGAGGCCCTCAAGGCTGATGTTGAGCAGTTCTCAGGCTCCTTTGAGATGCCTGGCTTTCTGATGTCTGAGATGAAGTATAAGGATTAGGTCCAACAATTCAATTATCATTAGCTTTTCCGTTCTGGTCTTCGCAAATACCATTCTCCCCTGAAAAGAAAGAGCTTCCATCTGTCTGTTCTTGTAGTCAGCTGTCAATTTTTCATTTGATTTTAATTTGTTGCTTTTCTCTTTATTATTTACCTTCTTGGGATGAATGGTCCTCGTGTCATTCGAGCTAAGAAAATGTTTCACTATCTCAATGACTCGGTGATCTATTATGATGTATCTGATTCAATAAATCAATGATAAGCTTTCGTGCAAGTGATGATTGAGAACGGTTCTGTGCCTTTGAATTATCTATGCCCACTGTCAATTATATCTCGCAGCATTTGGGAGTTGTATATCCTCTCATGCTACTGCTGTGTCGTGCAACTTCAGTTGAAGATCAAAGAGGGAAGAATATTTGAATTAGCTCAAGAACACCAAGAACTTCTGAACAAATCTAGAAATAAAGATTAAAAAAATAGACTAGATTAAATTAAAATGAAATGATAAAAGCACAGACATATAAACACACTATTCAAACAAAAATATGAGGTTGAATCATCATAATAATCTAGGTAAATAATATCATGATTATTTGATTTTATGCAAAAAAAATAAAGCATAATAAATGAATATTAAAAAAACCCTTAAATATGTGTTTTTAAACCATAAAAAACTTAAATTAAAAATAAAAAACATGCATGATTACATAAAAACCATCAATTAACATAAATGATTTAAAAAACAAAAAGCGAAGACAAAGTTCAATAAATGAATGTCAACTCAGAAAAATCAACAAATCCTAAAATCCTAAAAAAAATCTAAACCTAAAAAAATACAATAAAACTCATAAAAATAATTAAAACCTAGCAATCTAAATTTAAGGAGGCTTACCACGAATTATTGGAATCATCAAAACAATAAATAACAAGATTAAAGACAAAAACTATAAGTAAATACCGTAATGATATTATACAAAAAAAACCTCTCTATGCATAAACATTATTCTATTAGTTATAAATACTGACTTTAAGCTTAAACAACATATCTATAACTTCATCAAACATAACAGACTAACCTAAAACAATTTAAACCACAACAATATCAAAACCTAAAATATATTGTCATATCTTCAAATAAGATTAACTTAACAATAAATCATGCAAAAACAACATTCTGTACTAACATTTGTCATTCCATAATTATATTCCAACACATTAAAACAAGGTAATAAACAAAACTTGAGCATGTATAAGCTATAATCAAAGCATGTTTAAACATTTCAAAACAATAATCATGGCCTTTAAAATAATAAATGACTTCAAAGGTTGAATAACAAACATCATAAATGATAATTTAAAAGAAAAAAAAAATAAAGAGGGAGGGGATATGCTTATTGAGCTCTACTCCCTATCAAAGTTTGAAGGTTTACCTAACAATAAAACAATTGATTCTTTTTCTAAATTCTTTGCTTATCTTCTCTTGATTTTTAGCTTCTTTTCAATCTTAGATTGATTTAGATTCTCCTTATTTCTTTTTAAAACACAATATTTGTTACCTTTATTTCCTTTCTATTCTATTCTAAGTATTTTATTGATTTTATGTATTTTCTTTTTTTCCCCCTGTAATTTTATCAATAATCTTTCCCACGATCTTTTGGTGTGCTCAAGAACAATTTTTTATAAGTTGAACAAAACCTGAAATGGAAAAATCATGGTGGTTTTAACGAAATTTTGTTAAAGAACAATGTTGTTCATTCTCTCCTTCAACCTTCCTAGAAAGGTGCATTCTGATTTCTTTTGTCTTTTTATAAGCTCAAACCTGTCAAGAGAAGGTAGCCACAAATTTTAAACAATAATGATGGTTTTTTTTTCTTCAATCAAGGTTGATCGAATAAGGTATTTTAGAGAGATCATTTAACAAACTGGATGTAAATATAGGATAAACATAATTGATTCTTTTAAAGAGATTGTATATTTACCATAAGGATTACATCTCATTTGTTTTGGAGGTCCAGAACTCTATATTTATTAATAAGAAAGTGAGCTCTCGATCAGCCTAGTCTAAAGCAAACCCAACCTTATCTTTTGATTCCTCAATAACCATAAACATAACATCTTCTCTCCTCAATATTTAGTCTCCACCCATCAATATCCTCCATTTAACCCGTACCAAAACAATCACTAGTCTCGCCACTAACAACCACCATTGATCCAACTACCATCCAATCTTGACAACCCATCTTGATCCTCTCTCCACAATGACATTTCAAGAAAGAGAAAATAAAAAACAAAGATAAAAAGTCATCTTCTTTTCTTATTATTGACAACCATCCTCCTCTTTCCTCCACAACTGACCATCCATACTCGTTTTGTCGACTCCTCCATTGTCAACCAACCAACACCACACCAATAACGATATCTCTCCCATCAGCAACCATTGTCCAACCTATCACAGTCGTGATCATCTTTATAACTAACAACCCTTATGCTATAGTAACTACCAACTAGAACTAGCTAGAAGCAGCCAATAATAACTATGCACCTTCTAGCCGTCTACCACAACAATGTTGTCAATAATTTTCTTTGAGTCTAGCCATCCAACACAGTAGTGTTGTTAACAATCTTCTCAAGGTCTAGAATCTTCTCAAGGTCTAGTTGTGGTCGAATCCCCCATCTTCTCAAACGGTAACGTCTTCCACCATTAGGAAAGTTCTATTAACCTAGCTTTCCCCAACAGGCGTTTCACCCACAGATCTAAAAAAACCAACTCTCCTATGATGACCAACAACCTTTCTCTTAGTACATAAACCACGACCACACACTTTACCATAGATCTGTCACTTGCCTACAACAAACCCTTCGTTTGCCTGAAACAAAAAAGAAAAGAAAGAGGAAACTAAAAGAAAGAAAAGAGAGATAAGCAGATTTAAAAAATAAAAAGAAGAAAATGATCTAACCTTCAAGTCACTAGATCTCTCTCTAGGATTGACATTGTATGACTCTACTAGCTAGGAAGTGAAAAGGGAGCAGATGATTTTTAGATACAATAATTTATGCTCCTTCAACAATAACAACACGTGAATCCATATGTTAGCAGTAGTGGCGGCACATGGTACACACGTTGTCACTGTTCCAATGGTCTTCTAGTGTCTATTTTAGTATATCTTGGACATTTCAAACGCTTAGAAAGGTCAATATATAAACTTAAATCATTTTTGGATAAATTGCTATAACATTGAGAAATTTGGGACAAATTTTTATTGTTGTGTATATTTTTGGACTGTTTGGACATTATTTGATTTAAATTCATGTGCATTTTAGGTTTGATAATTTGTGTTAAATTGCAAGTTTATTTCTTAGGTTATAATTGCTTTTTGGACGCTAAATGTTGGTTCATGATTTATGTTTGGGTGTGTGTTGATTTATTTGAATTAACATGAAAATTGAATAAACATTGTGAAATTAATAAGATTTGTGTGAATGTTTTTTGTTGTTTGGTTTTGAGTTGATGAATGATAATTTACCTTGAATTGATATCATGGTTAAAATAGCATTGATAAAAATATTTTATTTGCATATTGCCAAACACAGTATTTGTCTAGTTCTTTTTTATAAATTTTTAATTTTTGAAAGATCTTTTTGTAATTAATTTTGAATTCTCCACTTTTTTCTACCCTCACACATTAATATTTGGATTTGTGACCTCTATGCAAGATATTGTTTTGGTATTAAACGAATCGGTTTCCTTCCACAAAAACAATAACAAAAAATCTTTATTTCAAAAATACAATTTTTATTTTAATTTGCATATGACTAAGTTTTTCAAAATAAAAAAAAATCATATTTCATAAAATTAAAATAGATGACATGATTTAGCATCTTTAAATAAAAAAAATCAAGAAAATAGTTTTGTTAATATATTTGCATGTATTTTTGGATTTAATAACTAATTTATGAAATCAATGGGAACAAAAAAATCATATTTCATAAAATAAAAATAGATGACATGATTTAGCATCTTTAAATAAAAAGTCAAGAAAATAGTGTTGTTAATATATTTGCATGTATTTCTGGATTTAATAACTAATTTATAAAATCCATGAGAACTTGGTTTACATTTTAAAAATAAAAAAATTATTTTATTTGTTCTTATATCAAGGATTACAAACTTATACATAAGACGAGTTTCTGACATTAAAAGAAAAATACAAAAACTAAAAAAAATATTTTGATATTATAATGGTTAAGTTTTAATTTGATAAGATAATGACCTCTTTATCAAAAAAAACTTTTCTTAAATCTTAAACAGACCAACAATTAGAAGACATTACAATACTTTAGATTATATCAAACAAATAAACAATATAACTTATCTTAGGTAAGGTGTACTAGAGGTGATAAACCCTACTTATACATGATTAGTTTCTTATGTAGACTTTAAGACCAATTAGGGTTTTTAGTGATCAAAATACTAGATGATGACTCTATTTTTTTTTAACTAATAATAATCAAGAACTTTTTATTCTTTCCCCATCACCACAGAGATCTAGCTTTAGGAGGACAATTGCTGTTACATTGCACATGTGCAACAAAGAAGTCAATGAGATTAGATGTGTCGTGGTTGTCACTACACTCATTTTGTGATGTGGTGGACTTTAGAAAGTTGAGGAGAGTAGAGATATCAAAATGAAATTAGCAGAGAACGAGAGTGTTTTTCATGAATGAGTGGTGTTGGCTTGTTCACAAGCTAAGATAATTTTTAGATATAGTTAAATGATATACTTGAATATTGCAAAAATTGATTTTGTTTAATTATGAGTTTAGTTGAAATTAAATTAAATGTCATGTGAATTATTATTGTGTTAAATTGTGAATTGTTAAGTTGAATGTTTTTTTTTGTAATAAAAAGTTGAAAAGAATAAAGAAATTGTGTCTATAATTATTTTTGAATCAATTCCCTTATAACATCTGTGACTTTCGTGTCTCACATGTGACTCGCTAACCACATATTTCATGTGTGACTTTACAAACTATGTTATTTCTTTAATATTTTATTTTCTATACATTATTTCTTAAAAAACTCATTCAAAGTAGGATGGTCCTGTGGATGATTCATTCTTGCCTCTTCCCAATAACTCCATATTGTTCTTTCATCATAATCATAATCATGCTTATTAAAAATAGTTGTCGGATTTTACCAAGTTTATGATTTTAGAATTTTAAGTTACTATGCAATTTGGGCTATTTTGGAATTCCAAGCTAGCAATAAGAACAAACCTTCCTCTTTCTA